GACATATTACAAAAAAAATAGAAAAACCACTAAATATTTATGACACAAAAAAAATTTAAACAAAAGCGTTTTCATCATATGTGACATTTATTTTAATTTTTATTTATCATTTAATAAAAGCATTCTCTCTCTTTTTATATAATAAAGGTTGGTTCATATTTTACTGAATAATTATTTTTATAAGGTAATAGTATTTACACATAAATATTACTTTTTATAAATTGATTTTAGCAAAAACATTTATGCATGGATTATAATATTATAATTTACCAAAGTGCATTAAAAAATCTTAAATGATTAGTGGTAATATTAATAAATAATTTATATTATGGGGTACTGAAACGACATAACATCAATGAGATGTTATAATAACCATTTTGCTTTCTAATTATTTTATTTTCTAATAAGTATGATTATTGAGTATAGAAAAAAATGTCTACTGTATCCTTATTAAAAAAGTGTTTACTGTATATATATATACACATAGACATATATATACATTTTGTTCAATTTATGTATAAGATTTTGTTCAACTTATATTGGTTTATAATTAAAAAATAAAATAAAATTATAATAATAATCGTGGCTAAAAGTATTTATGAACCCACTAATAAAAAAACGTAACCATTAACCATTAATCTTCATAATAATCCTTATTATAATAAATAGAATATTTATTGAAACCTATTATATAAAAAACGGATGACATGATTGTTCATTATCCCAATAATAAAAAATAAAAGTAGTGGTGAAGAGTATTCATTGACAATTACTATTCCTATTTATTGTATTATTAACTGTCCTATTATTACTATATAACACCACAAACCCAAAAAATTGTATGCCAAGTGTCATTCAGAAACTAAATCGAGCGAGAGGTTGGAGAAAGCATGGCGAGAAAGGTATTTAAAGATAAAAGTTTTATTATTTATTTTTAGTTCTGATATTTGGTGTATGTGGAATTAAGCAGGAAAAATCTTTCCTTTTTAAAATATCATCTTTTTTCACGACATAAATTTTATTTTATTAAAAAATTTAAAAGATAGACTGATATCAATGATGATTGACAATTAATTCATATTTGCTCTGAGGATAATGATGATCGAATTCTGCTTGTCTGGGTGCAGCATCATCACCGTGTATCCAGTCGGTGCCACCGTCCCCGACCGAACATATATAGTCCAGATCGATTCTACACCCGATGCCCATAGTCTCCTCAATCAGTTTTCCGTGCACGTCATCTCAGAACGACCGATGAAGAATGTCGGATACAGCTGTTCTGACCCGTACATTTCTTGGTTTGCATTTTTTTCTATCGACGAGAGCCTATACCCTTCTTTGGGCAGTCTTTCAACCTTCACGTAGATGTCGGTATTTTCGGACACCACTACGTCGAGCGGCGGTGCGTTGACGTCAAGTGCCAAGTTGGTTTGCATATTCGCCGAAGGATCTTTGCTTAATTTCTTATTTATTTATTTATAGTTTTTACATTATTTATTTTTTATTTTGTGTAGAGTAATGAATTAATGTCAACCTAACCTTGATCCATTCATACATTATAATTTATAATATTTGTTGCATTTAATGCTGAAGTCGTCTATTCGATCATTTGGTACTATAGGAGCATGTTAGACCCTTTAATTTAGTTTTTTCTTAGTATAATCGTAAATATAACTTGAATATTAATAAAACAAAAGAGGTGAATTCATCTCATTCTATTGTAGGTATCCTTTGTTTTAAAAAAGAGGTCTAACATGGAACGTTTGCAGTTTATTATGTTTTTATGAACTTTGTTGCTATAATATAGTAAAAGCTTATATATATTACATTCGGCCAATACCGCTATCACTATGTCCTCGCTGATAAAAAAAGATATACATATATGTATGTATGCGCGTACTGAAAATTAAATGAGTATGAATATATATACATATAATATATATATATATATATAATTGTGTTTAGAGAGATGTGGTAAAAACACCTAATTTGAATAGTTTTTTTTTTAACTAATTTTAACACATGAAAAATAATGTTTTTTTTATAAAACTTTTCTGATATATAGTTTAAAATTGATACTTTATAGGTATGATTATGAATATATATGTATGCATATATATATGTATGTGTGTGATTGTGTACATAATAGATATACATGTATATAATTTTATATATATTATGTGTATAAATTTGTATATATGTTTTGTTTGTAAATAGAAATAAAACGAGATTTTGATATTGTAAGAAATATCTATATCTTTAGATACAATGAATCTTCCACATTTTATCATTTAGAAAATGGCATTTGATCGAGTGACTGAAATTTTCCTAGATTAAGTCAAGGTTCAATGTAGTTTTTCAAATGAATAAATCTATAAAGACAGAAAGTACATGTAACTTAAAAAGGAAATGAGCAAAATTTAATAATATTCAATTAATTAAAACATGTGTTCGTCATATGCACAGATATAAAACAAAAAAGTATATTTTTCAATAATTTTTATATTTTTTTTGCTATATTGATATCAACAGAATTTACAATAAAAATAAGGGGTAATCACATAAAAATACCTGAACTTTTACAAAAATTCCAAATAAATATTCGAACTATAAAATTGTCATATAAATACAATGAACTTTTCAAAACTCCCACATAAATACCCAGATTTTTAAATTTTTTCCAAATCAAACAAAGGCAACTGCTGACTCAGCAAAAAACTGGCGACTCAGCAAAAAACTGCTGACTCATCATTCAAAAATATTATTAAATATCCAAATATTCATCTATATGTATTTAAATTAATATATGCATATAAATTCACATATATATACAAATATATATATATATATATTAAAAAAATTATTTATAATTAATAAAACATATATACACATAACTACAATATATATATAACCCGCAGTCTGGGTTCCTACCCCCGCTGCACCCGTCTTCGGCATA